AAACAGTGAGGGTCAGCATCCAATGTTGAGTGATTATTGCTGTGGTCAATAATTTTGGGGAATTATTTACCGTTACAATACCTATAAGATCATAAATGACCAGAATCTCCCAAACCAAGGTATTCTGCCATTAAGTACGTATGGGCTTCCTCATGGCAGTCCACGAAGGAAATATCAGAAGGAAGCAAAGGCTCGACTGCGTTCCTGTTTCTTTTCAATTAGACTTGGCTGCCCATGGATCTCCCCACCGGTAGATGTAGCTACTGCACTTTCCGTGGAAGGCTTTAAGCTAAGAATGGACGATTATGCAACGACACAATGACTGTGTTTAGACGGCCTATCTCCTTAATACTCACACATTATTGATGAGTATGTGCCCGAACTCAACTGCAACTACTATTTGCCTTATATTTTTATTATGACAGATATGTATCAGTTTCAAATTTCATTAGCTATCTGTTTTTTTCTTTTTTCTGAGTAGGTCCACATAATCTACACCAATTATATCTACTATTACTATCATCACTATCTGTCTTTTCTACAAAACCGGATGACTAGTGGGTGAAGGGATCAACTCCATTCACGGTAGAGATGCGATCTTAACACAATGCATACTTCAAACCACATATAACCAGTCTCAGTGCCACTCTTTTTTGAGTCAACCAAAGTTACGACAGTCGAGTAGCGGGACAAACTACTCATAATATTACTGAAGAAAAGGGACCTTTACCTGACAACCAGGAAATCGAATTGGTTTACAACACCTCGTAAAAACGCTATCGGATACTGGACGCAAGCGGACTAACTAGATTGTAAATCATAGATACGTTGTTTTCGGATTGTATGTGGTTTCTAAACTACTTTCCATGTAGACTTTTATCACTAAATAACATCACTTGAAGAATAACTGGAAACCATACAGAATTGGGCGTCTGTTTCGTCCTAAGTGAGGTTGGTTCGAGAAATTAATCCATATATCCACAGAATTCATGATCTATATATAACTCACTAGTGATGGTCTTGAAGTTTTGGTGAGAAGCTTTTGTCAGTGGTGTGCACTATATCAAGGTGTAGTGGGTTTTTATCATTGGCGTTGGTTGATGATAGCTACATATTAAAAATTGATAGAAATTAGAGTTAACGAGTTACTGAATTCCAAGTTAGCATGTGAATGGCCATTCAGCCATCCACATACTCTGTAGGCCCTTAGGTTGTTCTCTGGTTTGGTGATGGGTATTAACTAGGGAACAGTCCCGAATCGGGATAAAGCAGCTGTTCAGTGTTCCCTGGTTTTCAGTGATTTTCTAATTGATATCAGTTCGTAAAGATATTCATGAAACCATTGTATTTCTTCTTTTTGTTGGTCCGATTACTTCCTGTTATATAAGAGGAAACTCCAGTCATTACTCTGGAATAATTCTAAGCAGTCAAACTTTAGACACATAAGATAAGACTGATGATAATCGTGACATGGAAATCAGCTTTCTAAGCTATAATTCACTTTAATATTGGTGACAGTTGTGCTTTTCCATCTAACTGAGGCATTTCCCTAAGAAACGAGAATTTCAGGTCACATCAACACTACCCAGCTGGTACTAACTATACATTCCCTCAAAAAATAAACTAATGTACATCCTATTATTGATATAAGTCAATCTGAGGTGATTAAGGGAATGAACAGTACTGTAATCTTTCAAAGATCTTGAACCCTTTTTTCGAAACAACAAGAGGAATGCTCGGATAAATCAAGAGATTTATACGAGCTCGTCCAGGGCTTAGTCCCCAGCTTGAGTATTCCTAGTGTTCCTCTAGATTACCTGCCTGTAGTTAGTCCGGGCAAAAGGGAAGGCTGGATGTGGGGATAGTCAACACCCCTCCCACCTCCTGTAAAAATAGCAGAACGGTCACTGAAAGTACAAGGCTTCAAAAGTGCAGCCTCCATGTTCCATTGAAAGCTCGTCAAAAGGATACTGGATTTCTTTGTGTTTATTAGAAAATTATGTCCAGCTGTAATCAGAATACACTACGCGATATGAGAAAGTAGTGTAAACTGATATGTATATATGTTTCAGGATATCAGATATTACAATAATCTCCTACGTAATCACCACCATTATAATGAATAAGTTTTGTAAATACAGTTTAGCTTATTTAGTTGACAGGTAATGATATCACACATTTTCTACTAATTTTGTAATATGCAAACACATTAAAAATGCTTTGTTTTACATCATATTTTAGAAAGCAACAACGTGAAATTTGAGTGTTGTTTAAATCAATGCACTAGTTAGTCCAGTTTATTTTTTGAAGAACTTTTTCGTCAGACTATATGTATGATTTGTTTGTTTTGATATAATGTTTAGTTTCCTTGTTAATCAAACAGCGGGAATTATAAGTTACTCAAAATAATCCTGAAACATCCTGAGATTATGTTAAGTAATTTATAATGATTCCCTCGTAGTCTGTGGTCAGTTTATTCACGGAAATTCGTAACATCTTCGGTCTGGATACTTAAGAACAGTGGGAATAATAATTGGTTTCATAGAAGTCTAACTTCGCATTCAATTCGGCAAGTTTGACAGAGTAACGTAGAAACCCATTGAGTTCCTTCACTGTCGTAGGGTCCTTGCATTTTTTCAAATCGTGGAAAATATCCATTGGAACTTTAGATTGAGAAGAATAAGAAGTTCAGCAATGATATCTTTTCGGCGATTTCATTTTCAAAAGCAGCTGTACAATCGCATTTAAATACATAATTTTACATGGAGACAATTCTTGTTTGATTCTACATAATTATGACGGCGAATAAAAGATGATAATTATTTTCAACTAGATGTGGTTTTTACGAGAGGCTTAGAAACAAAATTACGCAGGATTAGAACGGATATCAAGTGTGTAAAAATGAGCATGGATACAAAATTGAAATAATAATTATCAACTTGAGATGGGAATCAGGATGTGCGAATATAGATTACAAGAGCCTTAGAAACAAAATTACATGGGATTTAACAAATTACAGAAAGTGAGCATGGAAACAAAGATTAATATAATAGTTTTAACTTAAAATGGAAGTTAGGAGGTGTGAATATAAATTACAAGAGCCTTAGAAACACAAAAATTGCACAGGATTAAGATATAATTGTAAATTTTTAAAACGGATTATAAATGTGTACAGGAAAAGCATGGAAACAAACTTAAGTGTTTTTGTAACTGGAAAAAAAATGGGGTGGATCGAATGAAGACTGAGGGAGTAAGAATCACACACTTAGCGAACGAAAAGGGATCAAAAAACAAAAACAAAAAAGCGGAAGCTACGGTAACATACCGAACTAAGTCCATGGTAGTTGTAGAGGTTGTCCAAAATGAAATCGCCGAAAAGATATCTTTGCTGAACTTCTTATTCTTCTCAATCTAATGTTCCAATGGGTATTTTCCACGATAATAATTGTTGTTGTTGTTTTTTCGATTCTCTTCAAATGGAATATAGGGCTGGAACAGTATATTCCTGTTGTCTTCTATTCTCTTCTGTCATTTTCGACTGGGTCCAGGACTGCCGAGGAGCTTTCATCTCCTCTCACAAAATATCCTTCATGTCACCATCGGACATCCATCAAATTGTTTGATCCATTCACCTTCCACTCGTTAGATTTTCCTGTGACATCATTTTGTAGTCTCCTCCACGTGGTGAAGTTGGACTATCATAGCTAAATCCACTTGCACTTGGGTTCCAATCAATCAAAATTCAGATGCAAAAAAGTCGTGTAATCATTAGAAAAACGGTATTACAGTGGATATTTGTCTCTTATGTGTTGTACGAGTTTCTCCCGGTCATGTCAAGGATAATCCATAGAGAAGTCACACCATGCGCGATAGATATATTCATCTAGGTGACTGCAGATTATGGTACTTTCAGGATCCATTGAAATTACTGACACCGTGTTCCTACTCTTAACCATAAAACCTAATCCTAACCCCAACAGTGAAGGAACACTAAGCCTACCTGACAGTGTCAATTTACAGAAAAAAAGTACCTCGGGGAAGAAAGGCAGTTTGTACTAACGACAAAAGGAACAACGATAGAATGTATAGGTGTGCTTTTCACTGCACGTTACCCTCCACCGTGGTGCTTTTTCTTAACCTCATCAGAAACTTAAAAGTCACCTGCTCTTAAACATTTTAAAAATTCACGAAAGTAATATTGATATGATTTGACGTAATGCTTTGATGCACAAATATATTTAAAGTATGATAAATTAAATGCAATATGCAGATAGAAGTTCAAGTAGCTAACCATTCAAACAGGCCGCCAGAAATGCTGACAAAAACTTATCGTTTAAAACACTGAAATATTATTCACTAGGTTACATTGAGTTACATAATGTAGATTCTGGATTGCATTGTTAGACATCATCCAACAAATAACACCGGCGTTAATCCTCAGACATTGTCGAGGCGTCCTTACTAGGAACTGATATGACAAGTGAGATCGAATATTCAAGTTTAATATGGTCAATGAATGGGAGATACAAACTAACTTAAACAGAGTCTCAAACTTTGTTTCAATAAATAAATAATTCATGAAAAATAAGGTATAATTCCAGTTGAATATGCATAATTTGTACGCCCACCGAGGTTCCAACGCAGGCTGGTATTTTGCCCTAAATATATATCAGGAATTGGCAGGAGCTAGAATTAATGATCCAAGTGGTTTAATGGTCTACGACTTCGCCTTGTAACCGGAAGGTCCAGGCTTCGAACCCTGCCGTTGAGTGTGTGCTGCTGAAGAGTCCCAAACTAGGCTGACGAAGCAGCTGACTGTCCACTATTTTCAGGTTTTCTAAATGTTCTGTAAGTGATTTCAGCTCGTGTTCACACCTATTACCAATCGAATCCCTGAAAACTAACATTTGGCGACATAAACAAATACAAATGTATATATATTTACACAGAATTGATAACAAAATAAACAAAAGATGAAAGAGTTAAATGTGTTCAATAGATCATCCACTCATTGAATACAATGTCACCTCACTATTTGCAAAACAACAACTTTCAATATCTACAATATCAAACAAATCTTCATTCATTTCTTCAGCAAGACTATTTTGAGAAATGCCATCATCACCATCTTTTTCAGTTATTGTATCTATTGTTGTCGTAACATCTTCATTCAGAGTTTCACTTTGTGACGGATGATTTTCTTCAGTGTAAGCAAAGCATAAACCAATAGTCAATTCATATAAAAATGTACCAATTACTGCTCCTAGATATGGTCCAACTATTGGAATCCAAAAATAGTAATTATTTGCTTGAAAGGCTTCGATACCCCAACCTATGAAAAGAAAGGAGAGAGTTACTCACATGAAAATGCATACTCTGAGAAGTCTTTCTCTAAATATTCCTCATATGGTTGCAGGATTTCATCATGAGCTGACATCGGTCAGAGAATCATTGGGAAACCAGCTGGGGTACACTGAACAGCTGTTTCATCAGCCTAGTTTGGGACTCTTCATCTGTATGCACTCACATTGCAGGGGTTCGAACCCAGGACCTTCTGGTTACAAGACTAGCAAGCTCGTAGACCATACATCAGCCACTGGGACCCGATCCAATGGCCAGATCATGAATTCCAGCTTCTGTCAATTTACGACATAGCATGATCGCTAGCCAATGTCACCGCTGGAGGGTATTTGTCCTCACACTGGACCTGCTGCACCCTACTGGTCATGACTTCCCACTAGAACCCCAGGTAACTGCCTACCGGAAAATGGCCAGTCGCTAGTGGGCTAGTGGGTGCGTTCTGATGAAGAGTCTCAAACTAGGACGAAACAGCTGACTGTCCAGTACTCCATGCAGGTTTTCCAATGGTTCTCTAACCGATGTCAGCTCATGATGAAATCCTATAACCAATCAATGAAATCCCCACAAAGCAATACTTGAAAGTTCTTCATATGATTTGAAGATACTAGAGAGACTGGGGTATCCATCATATTTTACATATTTTAACCAACCGACGGCATTCATGAATCATAACCCACTTTCACAAGTATTTTCAAAAAGATTTCAATCTAATATGTATTGCTGAAGCAGCTTTGGCTATTGAAACATAAAAGCCAGATCTCTGTGTACAGAAGAAGTTCTTTCAACCCCTCCAGCTTTCATGGTCTTAATCCCTCTATGCTAAAGTATAGTAATCCCTAATCATATTTTGGCTCTACCAATTTTTAATTTTGTCTATTCAATTTGTATACTGTTCCTCTTTTACGTCAATTGTTACTATTACCATTCGCACTGGGTTCGAGTCTCGGTGGGAACAACATCATTGACTGCAGAATGCAGGTATATCCAGCTAGAGGAGGGAAAATCAATCGACGAGGCTATAAAGTTACATATATTGAGATGGTTAGGTCACGTGCTGCGCGTGCCTAACCATCGCCTCCCCCGACGGGTATTACTAGCTGATATAGGTGCAGGTTGGAAAATAGTAAGTGGTGGCCAAACAAAAACATGGCCTCATCAACCCATGAAATCCTTGACAATTAAACTGAGTCAGGTAGGGAGAAGCAGACTTCCGGGTTGGGGCCATCGGGACTCTAAGAATCAATGAAGGCTGGAGACAATAGGTGACATGGCTCAAAATCGTTGTCAATGGCTTACGCAGATGTATTCAGTCTCTGTAATCTTTATTGATATTCCTTTCTACCATTACTCATTCTGTTTCACTCTTATACTTGTCAAAACTCTATTGATTCTCTTCACTCATTTTCTCGTCTACCTTTGTGTGCTATTTGGAACGTGGCAACTCGAACTGCTGCACTTCGGTGCCAGGTTCTATGTTGAATCCAGACAGACAAACAGATTCTCATTTTGAACTGTCCCCGGTATTATTTCACTTGTTCCATTTGTCATTCTAAATCAATTCTTGTTTACAATGTTAAATTCTATGCTATCAAATTTTACACAACGAATTTATCAAGCTGTACAATCGTGTACATATATATATATATATGGGTTGTATTTTAAGAAATTATATTCTGTGGGGGAATTGAATGGAAAGTGTGAATACAAGTGAAATAATAATAGTAGTAGTATGAAATGCTATTAAAATATTTGTGATTATAACCATAGTTAAATGTCAAATAGCAAAACAATTAATGTCACATGTAGAATAATTCATAAGGTCTATAGATGTCTGAAAGGGGTGGATAATTATAGGATTATTAGGCGAATATAAAATGTTACATAACATGGTGTGTGAAATTTGCTAAGATAGAATTCAATATTGTAAAAAAATAATTTTGGATTTAGAATGACAAGTGGGACAAGCGGAAACAATTCAGAGTGAGAATAGTAATAATAATAATGATAATAATATTAATAATAATCGTAGTAATAAGGGAAGAGTACAGAGAATAACTAAATAAACAAAATAAATAAATGTCTATCCCTCTACGACCAAGGCAGTTGCTTTAACTGCGAAACTTTCAGTGTCTTACTAGGCAACATTATCAGTGCATACTTCAGTTTTTGAAATGAGCTTTTTTGAATCCTTCAAGCTTCTATCAAGTATCTTTCCTGTTAACCTTGAATATGATTGGCTGTTACTGGATATTTTCTCAGCCACCAGTCCACTTGTATAGGTATTGATTGTTTCTGCTAACTACTTCTCTCATTTCAATCATTAAAATGAAGACAACTATGGTTACCGATTTGATTAGGACAACGTACAAATCTTATAAAAGAAAAGGTGTTCAGCAAAGAGATACTCTTTTTGGCGATAAAATTCTGAAGCTGTACAATCGCATATATATATATATTCCCATGGATTTGTCATTAGAATTGTAAATTTTAGACAACAAATTTCGTTAATCGGTTAGAAGCTAAAATCATCGAAGCACCGCAGCAGAGGCTATTGCAATTCGCCTAAAACAACCAGTGCTCTGTGTTCATAAGAAGCAAGTCCAGCCAGCCCCTACTACTGCCCTGGCTGGTCTTCATTAGAGACTATAAATTCATGAATTCGTAATATTATCTTTCCTAATTTTCCTGACATTCAGCTTATTTTATGTTGATGCTATCGAACTGTAATTCACTGATACTATTAATTCGATGTTATTTGAACAACATTAATGTTGTTCATGACACTAATTCATTCATTCACTATAATGGGTATATAACTGCAGAGCCTGATGAAGAAGAGGTTATCGAAAAGAGTACTCTTTGTTCAGTATCCATTCTTGTGAAAACTAAAATAAGATTGAATACGCAAGTTGGGTGACGTAATCTGATTGACGGGGTTGAGGAGAGCTCAGCTAAGATTAAAATTGAACAAAAGTCAGATAAACAAAAGTGGTATTAACGGGTGGGGGAAGAAAATATTATCCAATTAAGAAAGAAACAAGAAAGAAAAAGATGAAATAAAAATTACGTATTTGGTATTAAGACAGGTCGATCACGTCCATTGTAGATTTAATGACTGAACAAACTTCCTCTTTTGTATGCGGAATTCAGGATTCAACATGTGAATTGCCATTGCATCTGAAGGGTTTTGAAAAAGTCTGATTCGTACTCCTTTGGTAAAATTCTTACATATTCTGTAGATAGATTTTAAGTTGTTTTGTGGGTTAGCTTGATGTTCAGATTCGGTCAGGTGTCCTCACTAAAAGAGTACGAATCAAACTTCTTCGAAACCCTTCAGAAGCAATAGCAATTGACAAGTTAAATCTGGAACTCTGAATACAAAAGTAGTTTGTTCAGTCATTAAATCTACAGTGGACCTGATCTATTTTAACACCGAATACGTAATTTTCGTTGCTTAATTGTATTATTTTCTTCCCCCACCCGCTATTAAATCTCTACCCCTTATTACCACGGTTATTAACTTGACTCGTTCAGTTTCACTTGAATTCTACTCAGCCCCCTCAGTTATGTTACGTCACTGAATTTATTGACGGGTAAGTTACAAAATGGGTGTCTGAACATACTTTTCCCACAATGATTTCAAGTTATTGAAAGTGAGAGTAGTAATAGTAACAATTGACTTCATTAGGAAGAGTATACAAATTGAATAGACAAAAATGAAAAATTGGTAGAGCCAAAATATGATTGGGGATTACCATACTTTAGCATAGAGGGATTAAGACCATGAAAGTTGGAGGGGTTGGACAAACTTTTTCTGTACACAGAGATCTGGCTTTTCTGTTTCGATAGCCAAAGCTTCAGCAATACAGATGAGTCGGGTACGTAGGGATTTGGGTAAACTACTCTTTGCCTTGTAGATGACTTTGAAGGCGGAGGCTATAGAGATAGGGTGATCATTATCGACCAGATGTTCAATGATCGCGCATCTTATTGCTCCACTTCCACCTTTTCGTAACCATGCAGGGTAGTGTTCTTGCACCCTCTTGGACAAAACTCGTGTCGAACGACCGATATACCTAGCTCCACACGAGCAGGTGAATTGATAAACACACATAGAGTTGGTCAACAGCGGGATCTTGTCCTTCAGGTTATTGAACAATAATGGTCGACTATTAAAGGCTATTCTCAGGGATGCAGCAGGGAATGTTCTTTTCAGGGACTGTGATATCCTTCGTTTCATGATATCGGAAGCTAATTCCCCTTTGGATTCCAAGCTCATGTAAAGTATCTTCTTGGGTGTGGATGATAAGTCACGTTTCATTGGATTTGAATGTATATTCTTGCCTACTAATCCTATGAATTATTCTATAATTTCATTTTATTCGATTTGCCTACAAATCCTATAATTGTACATCCCTTCCAAGTTCTATGCATCCTATGAATTATTCTATGTATGACATTAATTGTTTTGCCACTTGGCATTTAACCTTGATTATAATCACAAACATTTTAATTTTAATTGCATTTCATACTTTTATTATTATTTTATGCATTCACGCCTATGATTCAATTCCCTCACAGGATATAACTTCTTAAAAACTATATATATATATATATACGATAATTAATTCGTTGTTGGAGAGAGTCTCTCCGCTGAATCAATTGTTTTGTTTTTTCAAATGTTACAACGGGAATTCCCCGTGAATTAAAAAAGAGTAACTGTTTACACTAACAATTAGACAAGGAGTGGGGCGGTAGAGTTCAGATTTCTCTTGAAAACAAGAATGGATTAGAGACAAAATACAAGATAGAACAACAGAGTGAATTTACACATATTCTGCTTGAGAGTTCAGGTGGTTGAGGGTGATTAGTGAAGTAAAATTATAAAATCGATAAAATTATTTAATTAATTTTGATTTATTTCATTTTACTTTAGTTTCTACCCAGCTAACGCTTTTTATATTACGTAATTTGTTATCTAGAATTTAGAATTCTAATGACACACCTCTGGAAATATTCCTTTTGTTGCTAAGGCAATTCACTCTCTCTATATGTGCGATTGTACAGCCTGAGAATGACATCGCTGATGAAAAGAGTAAGATTATCGAGAGCAATAAACCCAACTTACACTGCCGCCACCCTCTGTTTGTCATTTTCCAGCTGCCGAACATTTATGATTGCTCAAGCGAAAGACCAACTGCCTCTCTGTGCTACTTCTGTGTGCGTCTACAAATTTAGTTGCTCTTGTGGAGAAAGCTGTATAGGGTGAACAGCTAGACAGCTTAACAAACGTATTAATGATCATATTCCTTCCCTCGTGGTTTGGTAAAGGCCAAATGAAATCTATAAGAAGTTCTATTTTGTCTCAGTTGATTGATGATAGCTGTCAACAAGTGGACAGAAGAAGTGCGTTCAGAATTACCTATCGCATTCCATAGAAGCTTTCGAGTGGAATTCAAACCCGCCTTTTCTCTTACGCATAACTGAAATTATGGGAGTTAATTCGAGAGGACAATCCAAGTCTTTGCATACAACAAAAGAAGTTTGTTCTACCTTTGTCTCTCCCTTGCTTGCCTAGGTAAATTCTAATTAAAAAACCCTCCCGTCATTTCTTATTTTCCTTTCTTCTCGTACTTTTATGATATTTATTTAAACTCTGATTATCTGTACTCCCCAACTTTAGTATTACGTAACTTTTAAGATATGACCTAGTTTATTCATGGAATCCTTCGAAGTAAAGATGGGAGTGAGACAAGGCTGGCTGGCTGCCTACTATCTCCAATGATTCTCCTGATTGCGGTAGACTGGATAATGCGACGGACAGCAGAGGGCAGCAAGGAAACAGGCATAAAATGAACCCAGTTAAAAAAATTGGAGTATCTGGACTTCCCCGATGATATATGTATCTGATTTACCACAAACTGGAAGATATACAAGTGAAAGGCAACAAGGTGGCAGAAGAAGCATCCAGAGAAGATATGACCTCAGGTGGATGTAGAGAAAAAAGAGATGATGAAGATTCCTGGCCAACAGCAACAACAACAGACAACAATCAGCATAAATGGAAGGAATCTGAAAGAAGCAACATCCTTTACTTACCTAGGAAGCATCGTTTCAACTACAGGCGGACGGGACTGATGAGGATATCAAAGCAAGGATTCATCAGGAAAGTAAGAAAAGCTTTCATTTCTCTCAAGTCTGTGTGGAGATCAACAACACACAGCACTCAGCATGAAAAAGAAGATCCAGATTTTCAACTCCACTGTTCAAAACATTTACCACATTATTATTTGATCTACAAAATCACCGTCATTGGTTAAATTTTGTATGTATATATACATATATATAAGGCCATGTAAATTAGAATAAAGCCTGAAGGAGGTCTAATTGAAAGTAACAATACTGTTGGCTTGTATGTCTTGTTCTAAGAGAAACTTTTCACTGACCACCTTTACTTACAAATCAAATCTCTACGGCATAGCACATCAAATGAATAAATAATGACAGTCACATGCCCAAAAATAGGTCAACTTACCGCATAATGCTATCGCTATCCTTGCACCCAAATCCCTCGCCGGATTCAATGCAGTGCCGATGTTCAAACACAATGAACCAATAATGCCAGTCATTAATATCCCAATATAAATCAACTGCAATTCATGTGGTATATTGTAATTATTCCTATCTTGTATAGCTAACATAATCCCAGAAAATAGACCAGTCGATAAAATATGATCCAGTAGACAGGCTTGATGTGATGCTCCAGGTATAGTGACTAACAGCACTCCAGTAGTGTTCATTTCCAGCCTTCCAGATGACATATGTTTAGCATATACTTGTATATTTTCCCAATAAATCCCAATGATCACAAGACCACCCAGTGTAGATCCAATGATTTGACACAAACTGATCGGTAGTAGAAATCGAAACGGAAGTTTACCAATTAAACAATAGGCGAATGTCAAGGCTGGATTTAGCAAACCAACTGTGCATTTCTCATTATCATTACACGAGGAGGCTATTAACATGCCAATAGTGGCAGCTATTCCCCAACCAACAGAAATCGATATATATCGACTAATCTCATGATTATTAAATGAACCAATAATACATTGTATGATAACACCTAATCCAATAATCATAAATACCGCTGTTCCAAGCAATTCATTAAAACAAGCAGATAATAATGGCCATCTGGATAAATTTAAGCAGCTTAGCCATTGTTGAAACAAAACACATTTATTATTGCGCGCGGATTGATTATGGCATTCAATGTTCAACATTGTTGAATATTGGGTACAGTAAAGAATTTATGCAAGATTTTGTTTTATTAAGTGATGATTGTTTTTGCAATGTTTTACATTTTAAACTGCTTTCCAATTTGTTTGTGTATATAAATTTGATAGTCAGTGTTTCTGTTTCAATTGGTTCAATGATTCAATGATCTTCATATATATAGTGTGTGTATCTGTAAACAAAAGAGATTGTTTTTTTTAATGAAAAATATAATAAACTGTCATTACTTATCAAGTAAAAAAAAATACTTAAATAAACAATAAAAACAAGTGTTTTGCGTCATTTTTTTGTATTTTGAAGTGTATGCATGAGAAATTCTTGAATATTTTAAGTGAATTTCCAGACTGATCATGAAATAATTAAGCAAAGAATATCCTTTTCAATTGTTTCCTCCTCTTCTGTCTCTACAATTATATATATATGTTTATATACATAGAATATTCTAGAATAGTAGTCAATAACAATATTGGTGTTTTTTAAAAATAATATCGATTTATTAAGTAAGATCACAATGGAATTACAGTTCATTAAAGATGCTTAAATAATAATAATAATAAAGATATAATAGCAAATAGAATATCAACTAAAATTAAGGAAATTTCTACAACAAACTGAGAATCATTCGAACCTAGATGGCCTAGATGGTCTGAACTACCTTCTTTTGGACACATAAATTAGGCTTCTTAATGTGGATCCCAACAGCCCTAATCAGCAATATTTAGTAGTCGAACTGTTAAGGCGAAATTGAGATTTGTTGGTATGCGGTAAATGACTTTGAAAGCTGTCTGGTTAAAATCAATCTTGTGTTCTGTATCCACAAAATGAGATAGAATAGCGCTGCGAATAGATTTTGTTTGTCCTTTACTTAACCAACGACGCAGAGTGATGTTCGGAAATCCGACGAGAAACACGCCTAATTGTACGGCCTATGTAACCAACTGGCTCCACAGGAGCAGTCAAATTGGTAGATACACACGGAAGAGGCGAAATTAAGCAATTTATCTTTTACTCCCGAACGCAAAAGTGGTGTGGGTGGTTTTGAAGACACAGCGTAATTCGGCTACAGGGAATTCTCTTTTCACTGCATTTCTAAGGCGCAGTATTAGTATCTCGCTGATGTTGCCCCCAAGGAACTGCATTTGTATATAAACATATGTATATATAATTGTAGAGCCAACAGAGGAGGGAATTATCAAAAAGGATATTCTTTGCTCAATTATTTTGTGTTTTATAGATGTCTGAATGAATACTTTCGCTATATTGATCGTGAAATGAATTCACTTAGAGAACCATTGTAAACTACTAGAGAGTACTGGATAGCTGTTTTTCATCCTAGTACTCCAGGTTGCTCCAAGTTTTTAAGCGACTTCCTAACTGATATCGGATGAAATTGGCTGTCAGTCACACTGTACATATCGCAAGTTGACAGAAGTTAGAATTGAAGAGCGTCGGTAGCACAGTGGTTAGGACTCCCGCCGACCATGCACATGGTCCGGGGTTCGATTACCTGCCGACGCACACCCGATATCTATGGTTGGCCTGTAAAATTTGGGCTACCGATATCCATGCTGAAAATTCCATACTTCTACCAAAAGTACTGTGTGGAATCAAGCTGTAAACAAAAATAAAAAATAAATAAAAAAAATGATAAAATTCGGTCGCAATAACTGAATGGCCAACAACCTCATCTTGTGACCAGAAAGTCGTGGGTTTAATCCCTGTTTGATACCACTTAAAAGTTTCTATAGTCGGTTTGTAAGAGTTAGTTTTGTTTTTTTACTAGTTGATCTCGGATTGATATCAGTTAGAGAGAACCATTGAAAACCAGCACTGGAGTACTGGACAGGTGTTTCAACCTAGTTTGAGAATCATCGGCAGTACGCACCCACCAATAGGGTTCGAACCCAGAACCTTCCGGTTACAAGGCAAGCTTGCATATCATTCAGCCACTGCTGGGACTCGATTCAAGGGCTCATGAATTCTAACTTCTACCAGTGGGTGCCTACTGGTGATGATTCCCAAATTAGGATGAAACAGCTGGCTGTTCAGTACTCCCCGGTTTTCAATGTTTCTCCTCTAACTGAGGTCACTTCAAGACCAATTATATATATATATATATATATATATATATATATATATATATATATATGAGAGAATCACGAAAGTCTAAACAGACGTAATGATTTCAAATTCAGTAAAATGCAGTAAAGTTGAATTTCTTGACCTGGTGTCAATTACGGAAACTCTCGAAATAGCCAATATGTGTCTTAATCCCATCAAAAATCGATTCATTGTAATGACAACAAAGAACCAAGAAACTTCGAATCTGATATGTTTTAAAATATATTTAAAAGATCGATTGAATGCCCATCTTTCTATCCTTCAGATGTACTTATTGTGTTATGTTTAGATGGATATTTAAAAACTGCTAAAGTTGGCCTCAGTTGGATGTCCGTTTCAAACTTTTGATTGAAAAAGAAACACGAATACAGTTGTTGAGGGAAATAATTCTTAAGTGTTGGTTTGTAGGCATTTGACTGATTTCAGGTTTGATGATGTTCCCAACACTCACTGGGGAATACAGGTACATCCACTTTCTGATGAGTCCCACATAGGACGAAATGCACATCCTGGCTTGATTCCACTGCTAGTAACCATCTACCAATAAAAATCTGGTTTATTAATAATGTCATTTACACAAATTGTTAATGCCAAGCTGAATTACCATTGATTGACTGATGATAATGATGATGACGTCAATTTTGATGGTGAAGGTATCCTCATGCAGGTTTTTGTTATCTTTCTGTTTATTTTTCTATGACTAATACAGTACTAATTTACAGACAAGTGTTATTGTGAGTAAACTGTTAACTCTGTCACACACACACACTCTCTCTCACGCTGATTTCATCATTCTATCTCACTCACTCACTCACTCATTCAATCACTTGTTCACTCTGTTCCTTAGATAAACAAAGAGAAAAAAATCTAAATTTTAGAAATGTTAATTTATAAATTCCTGTTTTCTTTTCATGGTTATGTTATGTTTGTTTTTATAGTTCCATTAAAGGATCACAGTTTTCCAATAATAAACTGTTTGTCATATTAATATAAGTGTAAAACTTGGGTACTGTGATAGTAAGTAATTCCATATTAGTTTGTTTATTAGATGTATCACACAGTCACTGAAACAGTATCATTTGATCTACGAGTTGATCACGGATTGATATCAGTTAGAGAACCATTGAAAACCAGCCAGGGAGTACTGGACAGTCAGTTGTTTCATCCTAGTTTGGGAATCATCAGCAGTACGCACCCACCCACCACCAGGGGTCGAACCCAGGACCTTCTGGTCACAAGGAAAACTCGTAAACCATTTAGCCACTGCTGGGGCCCGATTCAAGGTCTCATGAATTCTAACTTCTACCAGTGGGTGTGTACTGCGGATGATTCCCAAGAAACTAGGAAGAAATAGATGGCTGTCAAGTACTCCTGGCTGGTTTTCAATGGTTTTCTAACTGATATCAATCCGTGATCAACTCATAAAAACAAAACTAACCCTTACAAATCAAACTATAGTATTATTTACTGGATGACAAAGTTGCTAACAAAATTTATTATTTCTTCATCATCATTTCATCAATTATAATCACACGACTTCGAAACTTCAGTTTCATTGTTTTCGTTATCCTTCCCTATTCGCCGTCGTAGGCGTGGCAGTAAAATTTTCCAGATATCTGGATGAACAGGTGTTGAATCATTCATTCCTATTACACGTATTCCCTACCAGTTGATTCGATAAACAAAGCTTCTGTTATCAATCTCTTCCTCCACACTGCTGTTACATTAAATTATAATAATGTCATCTTATCCCGTCCCATCCTATGCTGTATGGTTGTGTGTAATTGCATGCAGTGAGTGCTACAGTTGAACTGTTCTCCAGATTTCTTATCTTATTCGGGTCAACTAATCTAGATTTAGCTGTTGGGTATTTTATGCTCGGCTAGTCTGACTCACTGCCCCTGTTCTACTACTTTGACCTATGTATTTGCCTTGACAATCATTGCAGGTAGCGTATCAGATAAACTAAATTAATGCCCAAAACTAATAACCCCAGTGGGATGTTTGGTGTTGTTGAAGTTCATAAGTCAGGATACCCTATTAGACAGACCTATAGTTGATTTTAGAAATTCACCTACTTATGAGTTATCTAAATATTTAGCCATGGTATTAAATCCCCTTAAAAGCCACTCGAAATCATCAAGACTAACAAATTCTTATGAACTAAAACATAGATTAGATAATTTAAAATTAGATAATGAAGAAAAACTGGTTAGTCTTGACATTGTCAGTTTATACACACATATACCAATGAATATGGCTATAGAGGCAGTCAGAAAAGAAATCATTTCTGACCAAGAACTCGAACTTAGAACGAAAGTGCCACTTGAGGACATAATGCTGGGAGTGCATCTATGCCTGACTTCCACAGTATTTAAATTCCTTCAAGGGAAAATATACAAACAAACTCAGGGAGTTGCCGTGGGGTCACCAATATCTCCAGTTGTCGCAGATATATTCATGGATAGGTGGGAAAACATAGCTATTGAATTGTTCAGCACCCGTCCAAAAGTATGGTGGAGGTATGTAGATGATACATTCACTGTACTTAGAACACAGGATATAGATAGATTTTTCGAACACATCAACCTGAAGGTAGAGGCAATTCAATTCACTTATGCATTGAAAAGTCAGGAAGGGGAGCTTCCAATGTTAGATTGCAACGTAAAAAGGAAAGAAGATGGGATGTTAAACACTAGTGTGTGTTTATAGGAAACCCATGCATTCAAACAGATATTTAGACTTCTGATCATCCCATCCTATGTCAGTGAAAATAGAACTGATGAAATGTTTCAGTGACAGAGCACAAAAACTAAGTAGTACGAAGGAAAATCTAAGACAGGAAATGAGGCATATAGGAGAAGCATTGAAACTTAATAATTACCCTGATAAATTAGTCAGAAAGTATGTAGGGAGATGTAAAAATGAAATAAATAATGATAGTAATGACAGTGATAATAATAATAATTATTATTATAACTCGCCAGTCTTGTAACCAGAAGGTCCTGCGTTCGAACCCATGTGTTGGGTGCATACTGGTGAAAATCCCTAAACTAGGCTGACGAAACAGCTGGCTGTCGAGTATTTGTTGGCGGTTTTCCAATAGTTAGTTCTCTGACTGATATCAGCTCATGATGAAACCCTGTAACCAGTGAATTAAATCCCTACAATATTAGCCATCCAGCTGGTAGATCCGTGTTTGACTCCTAGCCAATGCAATCCAAAGGCTTGTCTAGCTTATTACCTGGAAGAAAGTCGTGAGGAAAGAAAAACTTGGGTGTGAGGCTTGAGGGAAAAAACAGTACCCTTTTCTGAAATATCAGAGCTTGAAGTCCAGTGTTACACACTGAAGTTAAAGGAATGGAAGTGAACTTATGTGATTTGAACTGATTCGTCTCTCTGAGCTAAGTGCGTTGGTGGTACAGCGGTTAGGACTCCCGCCGACCATGCACATGGTCCGGGGTTCGATCCACGGCCGACGCACAACCGATATCAATGGTCGGCCTGCAAAATTTGGGCTACCGATATCACATGCTGAAAATTTCATACTTCTGTCAAAAACACTGTGTGGAGTCAAGCTATACTAAAATAAAAAAAAATAAGTGAAACAGGTTAAGTAAATCACTATTGAACCTGACCTCAACTACTGGTTGATTTGAGTGGTATCAAGCTACTCATCACCATCATCAGCATTAGTAGTATATAGTTCTGCTGTAAAACTGAAATCTTATTGGTCGATAAAAATTAACCAATCAAATTGAAGCGCACTCTTTAAGTTGTTAATTATATATATTTTCACTAATATAATCTTTATTTAACACAGAAACAATAACTTGTACGTTAATAACCTCATGTTCAAAATTAAATATCACGAAAATTATATCAAGATGTTGAATAAATTTAAACAAAAAATTATTTTCATCATACATAAACCATTAGTATTGACTTGTCTGGGTGAATTCTTCGGTACATACATTTTAATGACCATTGGTCTTGGTACTGTGATGCAACGTGTTCTGCGACATCAATTCAGTGACAGTAATGATAAAGATTATAGTTATTTAACTCTACCGACTGGATGGTCTACAGCATTCATCCTATCTCAAATTATTTCCAATATAATCGGTTATGGTAGTATGAATCCAGCGACAACCTTGTCATTTACAATAATCGGTAGAATCCCGCTGCACTACTTATTACCACTGACTACAGTTCAGTTGATTGGATCCTTCTGCTCCAGCTTAGTTCTATTTATAACCTATCGTGAAAGTATTACCGATGGCAATAAAAACTGTCTTCCTTCTGCTGCTGCTGATGACGACGATAATGATGGTGGTAATCGTAAGCAATGCATGAATACAAATGTCATCAGTTTATTTGTACTGACACCATCTGCATCACATTATGTCTGTTTTATTGATCGTGTTTTTGTGAGTACGCTTACTACACTATTTGTTTTATTATTACGTGATAAAGGAAGCCATAAAGTATCTCGGCGATATCGATGTATTTATATGGCAATATTTACAATTGGTCGAATAGGTGCTTTGTCAATGAATGCTGGGACTTCAGTGAATCCATCACGTGATTTAGGCCCAAGATTGGCTATTGCTATTTGTGGTAAGTGGATGGATGCTTTTATGCATAGTTATTTTGTTTTTGCGTTTTGATTTGTTAGATGCTTGTAGTCTGACGCCCTACCTTCCCTCTTTTCCCCTGCTAGATAAAGTTTAGAAGTGAGTCTGCCGGGAAACGAACCCTAGACCACATGCTTTGTTGGTGAGCAACTTATTCCTTTAATAATATTAATAATAATAATAATAATTTGCTTTATTCCAAAACAGTACTTGTGATACAGAATGGAATTCTCAGCATTTTTACTACAGTATTGCATCCAGTTAGTACATTATCAATAAATAGAATTCAACATAGATTAAGGAAATCTCAGTTCATTATGACAACAACATATTGGCATGTCGGTAGCAAAGCCTAAAATTGAACAGAGTGTTTGAAGGTGTTAGAAAAGTAGGTGCTAGCATATTTACTGGCGTAAGCGGAAGAAAGAAACAAAGCAGCACATAACGGAAAAAAAGAGAGAAAAAAGGAAAAGAAAGAAAGAAAATGTTGTACCTATAAATGATATGAGTTGGAAAGACGAGATCCACTTGTTCGACTGACTATTTAATAACTTATAGGTATCACGCCTAATGCTTTCTTTATCACACAGAACACGAGCTAAGTAGGGTATGGTTGAGCTTTTGTACTTGCTGGTGCGAGCATATAGTTTTCTATGTAGGCTTCTGGTTCTGCCTGATGAGATGAAAGGGGAGAGTTGTAAGTGGAGAGGGTAGTGTGGGTTAGATAAAATGGATTTGGCCCATTTTTCACATGAGTCCATGTACCTGTCAATCAGAATATTAACAAGCTGGTTAAGTGGCACGTCGCTTACCCTGCTGACAACCTTTAACATCCTGCGTAATAAGGTGTAGTCTTTCTTCAGTAGCCCGGGAAAAACTGAAGGGGAACAGTAGAGAATAATAGGCAGAATGTGGGAGTTAACGAATTGTAGGAGTAAGGGTTGGGTAATACCAGAATGTTTTAACTTCTTGATGTAGAAGGTAAGACGGAATATTTTCTTAGAAATCACTAAGATATGAGACGATCAGGAGAGATCAGCAGATAGAATGACGCCTAGGTATTTAATTTCCGATTTGGTTTCTATTTCAGTGTTATTTATGTTGCATACCTCGTGAGAGCCAACCAGTTTGTTTAGGTCGGATTTATGCCTAAAGGTGAAATTGACTGTTTGACATTTTGGAGGAGTTTAAGGTAAGACCGTTTTCCTTGGACCACTGGCTTATTTCTGACAGAAAGCCATTTAGTTTAGAGCAGTCACTTTGACATTTGACAGGCAAAGATACTGTCAGGTCGTCAGTATATTTAATAAAATTAATGTCATTTGAAGATGGGAAGTCATGTAGAAAGAAAGAAAAGAGAAGTGGGGAGAGTACAGCACCTTGGAGGACACCAGCTTCAGTGAGCACAGAAGAGGAGGATTTACCTTTGAATACGGTGTACTGCATTCTGTTAGAGAAGTAGGAATGCAAGCAGTTAGTGACCCAGGACTCAGTTTGTGTCATAGAGAGCTTATTCAGCAAGAGACATCTGTGTACAGAGTCGGAAGCAGAAATGAAGTCGAGAAACTTGCAGCGGACGTATTTGGCATCTTAATATATCTTTATCTATCCCTGGACTAGTAATGCATAGAAGTGCTTGACTTGAGGCGCAGCTGAGACTCAGGCCGCAGTCTCTGGATTTCAGAGTCTAGTGCGCTAAACATTAAACAATCAGGTCCTTAAATCGGAGTGTGCTGGGCGGAATTACTAGACCACAATTCATAAACTGGGTGATGATAATGGTGGTGTGAAAATCTAGAACACGACAAGATTTGAACTTGTGGCGGCAAGATTTTTTGGAAAGCGAAACCTGACTACTGACCAGATCATTATTTTTGACTACAGACACAATCGTTCATTCTCCTACCAAACTCCTTAACTCCTAATCGCAGTTATATAATGATTTAAAGACACACCATTATTATTATTAAAATAAAAACATGGTACAATATAGGCACCAATGAGATGTGCCATACAAAATCTCATAGGTTTTGTTGTAGCAGGGTAACTGCTCCGACACTGAAGGTAGTAGTCTCAATGGACCAGCTCCCCCTCGCAAAGCCTTTGGCTTGAGGTGTGATCCACAAAACAGTGGAGTAGCGTCAAGAACTGAGTTCCCATGGTTTCTAGTGATCAAAATGGGTTTGACAGTGATACTTCTGCAACAGTTTTTTTATTGTTGTTGTCTCTGACCTTCCTGTTGAAATTTTTTTTATATTTTCTCTTTGCTGGCGTTGTTCCGATTGCTTTATTCCTTGTTTTCCTGATTCTAAGGGGAGTAACCCATAAAGTCGTTCCCCTGTAACCTATACACACATGTAACAACCCCTGTCCCGGAGTTGAGGCTAGCAACCTCACCCTGCAAACAAAGTTGCTACAGAAACTTCAGGGCGATGAGTCTCCTTGCGACAAAAAAAGTCTATGTGGAGACATGGAACGTCCGCACCATGTATGAGATTGGCAAAGCTGCCCAGATTGCAAACGGGGTGAAAGGACATGGAATTTGAGTTTTGGGAATATGCGAAAGCAGATGGAATGGGAGTGGAGTCACCAAATTATCAACGACAGAGTCGATGATCTACCCTGGTGACCCAGAAGACAACCACGAGCAAACCGAGGGCGTGGCTATCATGATGTCACCAACGACAACGAAGGCCCTGGTGCAATGGGAGGCGATCTCGCCCAGGATAATAACCGCCAGATCCAACTCCAAAGGAAGGAAAGTGTCAGTTATACAATGATGTGCACTCACAAATAATGCAGACCCTGAAAAAAAAGAAGAGTTCTATAGACAACTACAGGCAATAATAGACAATACTCCAGTCGGTAATATGAACGCCAAACTGGGACCAGAAAACAAAGGAAGAGACCTCAACATAGGTAGAGAAACTATCGGAGAAATGAATGAAAATGGAGAACTCTTCTCTGACTTATGTGCCTTCAATGAACTAGTGATTGCTGGCAGCGTATACAAGCACAAGGATATCCACAAGGCTACATGGGTGTCAACAGACGGGCGAACTAAAAACCAAATTGACTTCATCTCAGTCTCAAAGAAGTTGAGACGCAGCTTACTGGACACAAATGTAAGAAGAGGAGCAGACGTTGGCTCAGACCACTATCTCGTACAAGGGACAATCCAAATCAAATTAAAATCTATCAAAGAAACAGGAGCTGCAGATAGACCACAAGCCAAGTTCAATACTCAAAAACTGAAGGATCAGGCCACAAAGGACATCTTCACTGCAAGCATAAGGAAAAAGGTGGAGACACAAATCAACACTAGCGAAGAGGTCAGCGTTGAAAAGCACTGGGATAACCTGAAAACGGTGTGGAGTGAAACCTGCATGGTAGTTCTAGGCAGAAAGAAGAGACAGGACAAAAAGTGGCTCACTACGGACACATGGAGACTAGTAGAAGAGAGAAGGATGTTGAAACAAAAGATTATCCAGTGCATCGATGAGCAACAAAAGCAGGAGTTGAATGCGAGCTACAATACATTGGACAAAAGAGTAAAGAAAAATGCCAGGGAAGACAAAAGAAAGTATTATGAAGCTATGGCAAGTGAAGCAGAAAAAGCTGCAGGCAAAGGAGACCTCGCAACACTCTAACAAACAACTAGGTTCCCATCGGAGAAGAAGCCAACAAAAATTAAGCCAGTGAAGGATGAAAATGGAAAGCCAATCACCAAAGAGTTGGAGCGGAGGAAACACTGGGCTGAACACTTCAAAAGGCCTCTAAGTCGACCGTCACCTACAACGCACCCACTAATGCCGACAGCGGAAGCGGAACTACCAGTGGACATCAACCCTCCGACGAGAATAGAAGTCCTGAAGGCAATCAAGATGCTAAAAGCGGGAAAAGCAGCAGGACCAGATGGAATCCCAGCAGAGGCATTGAAAATGGACCCAGAGATCAGCGAACTTGATGACACCACTACTTGAAAAGGTATGGAAGGAGGGCAAGGTACCTGCTGATTGGAAGAAAGACTACTTATTCAAACTGCCAAAGAAAGGGGACTTTGGTTAATGCAAGAACTGGTGCGGAATTATGCTCTTGTCCATCCCAAGCAAAATACTGAGCCACATCATCCTGAAGAGAACCAAACATGCCCTGGATGAAAAACTTCGATCGGAACAGGTTGGATTTTGGAGGAGTAAATCATGCATCGATCAATGCGCAACTATACGAATCATCATTGAACAGAGGTTGGGATGACAGTCATCTCTCTATCTGACTCAACTTCATCGACTTTGAAAATGCCTTCAACAGACAGCGTCAATCGAGAGGTAATTTGGAAACTACTTCACAACAGTCATACACCTCATCCAGCAGTTGTGAGACAATGTTGCATGCCAAGTAATTGACAACGAGAAACTCACGGAGTCCTTCAAAGAAGTGAAGACGGGAATACTACATGACTGGCTGGCTGCCTACTATCTCCAGTGATTTTCCTGATTGCGGGCGGTAGACTGGATAATACGACAGACAGCGTCCCGGGCCAAGAGAAAACAGGCATAAAATGGACCCACACAAAAACTTGGAGGAAATGGACTTCGCCAATGATATATGTATCTGATTTCACACAAACTGGATGATATGCAGGTGAAAAGCAACAAGTTGGAGATAGAAGAAGCATCAAATGCGGACCTTCAGGTGAATAAACAGAAAACAGAGGTAGGTTAAGAAGATTCCTGGCCAACAGCATCAAGAATAGCAACAACAACAGACAACAATCAGCATTAGTGGGAGAAATTTGAAAGAAGCAACCTCCTTTTCCACCTACCGTCATGGGAAGCATCGTTTCAACTACAGGTGCACGGAACTGATGAGGATATCAAAGTGTGAGGATAGGGAAAGCAAGACAAGCAGTCATTGCTCTCAAGTCTGTGTGGAGGTCAACAGCAAATAGCACTCAGTATGAAAAATGATATCTGGCTTCTCAACTCCAATATGAAGGTAGTGCCACTTACTACACGGATTAGAGAATTGGCGCGTCACGAAGAGCACTTCGAACAAACTACACACCTTCATCAACAGCTGTCTTGGCTCAGTACAACTACTCAAGATCAGATGGCCGGACAGAAAAGATCAGCAACAGGAAGGGATCTCTGGAAATGAAAGGACCAACCAGGAACCGATTGTGCAACAAATATGCAGGAAGAAATGGAGATGGATTGGCCATACCCTGAGAAAACAAATCATCATCAAGTGAGTGACATCACACACCAGGCCGAACGGGAAGTGGCGAGTTGGTCGTCATGCGAGAGTGGAGTGACATGGAGGGGGACATGTGAAGAGGAGATGAAAGCATGTGGGCAAACGTGGATCCAGGTGAAAAGGTTTCCAGAGAATCGAACGCAATGGTTCGTGCGTGGCTGAAGCCCTAAAGGAAACAATAAAATGGGTTCACATGCCATTCGATCCTTTCGGACTGTGAGGCCCATGTACAGCACAGTTTCGGAATCAGAGTTCTCCAGCTCCCCCTATAGGTAGACCTGCTTGTTAAGCCAGTTCGGTTTTGAAGCGCTAGACTTCCGCGACCTCCCATTCACTGATGTGAGGAACACCTTACGCCGTGCAAAGGCAGAAACTGTGAACGCGTGGTCACATGAGGGCATTTCGAGAAGATCGAAATCTACCTATTGTAACGAAAGAAGATAAGGGCCGGATAACAGACCGTTTATTGAGAAAATCAAGAGATATTTATGGATTTTTATGCACATTATTATTGGCGTTATTGTTATAGCGGAGAAGAAACCTCTCCTGATTGGTTGTTTTCTCGCTGAAGGTTATTCTGTTATCTCTTTGTGGCTGTTTCTCAGAAAATCAAGTCATATATCGGCGAATCATATTTCCACAATTTAACTCCGCTGTGATTGGCTGGTGATTTTCTCAAGGTTAAGCTTTGTTTGTTATTGTTTTTCTCATGACCCTGATTTGGGAGGTAACACTGACGTAAATTGCTGTCTGCAATTTTGGCTTGCAGTAATACTGAGTTATCTGAAAAAGAGTAGATGCTGCCGAGGGAAAAAGAAACCTTTGCTGAATATGCTGATTATATTCATCAGGAAGACTAAAGTTTCCCCCTTGAAAAACACCCACCAAGATATCATGAAAAAATAAGACTTACAGGATAAACTTCACTTGAGGAAACGTCCACCATTCAGGCAGTCCTTTATGACATTTCAGCTGAGCGATTTCAAATGCAGCCAATGCCTTTTTCTCTGCTTTGAATTATCTGCATTGAGTAAGCTGATCTTTCAGGATATGATTATCAGTCCCATAGTCAAACTTTCCTCTTTCCATCGGGCTTAAGAGCAGCTAGCGAACTATGAGAACTAATCGGGAACCTCCATGGAGATGCACTGAACATTACACACAAGGCAGGAATGGGAAGCAACGGGCCGGACGTCGGAGAGTGATATAAAGATCATGAGAGGGGGGGAAATACAAGCCTGTCGACAATACAGGAGTCAGCTAACAAATACTAAAGAGAACGGAATGACACTTATCAGCTGCTGAGACCCTGTGTTCCACTCATAAATCAAGGAACGAATAATAAATAAAATGGTTGTCATTTTACGAAATATGGATCGAATTATGCAGCTCAAAAATGAAATTGTCTTGCAGCTTACTACTTACTTTGATCTAGAGTAGTATATATTGTTAAACAAAAGTCTTCCTTCAGTATACGCAAATTCTGCCAAATTTGTTGATTCATTATTAAGCACCACTTTGCAGCTCTTCAGTTTCCATCCTTCTGTCTCACTGTCCCTACACAGACACACATTCCCCGAACAACTACACAGGAAAATTTGTTGATATGATTCGGAAATAAAAATTTGTATAACTTCATTCAAGGGGCTGAAATGTCGACATTTAAGGCCGATTGGTTGCATCCAGAAATATCTGAGGGAAATGACAAGTATAAATAAATAGTGACGAATGGTATCCGTTATTCAAGAGGTAGCCATCACTCCTCAGTCGCCTAGTGAAGGATGTTTTGAAGTATGAAGTGATAGGCACTGGGTTCGAGACTCACGGGAGGACGGACCATTTCTCATTGGAGTGCTAGATACATCAAGCTGACGGTCCACATACTGTATTCATGAGTTAGGCCTTCTAATGTATATCCAGACAGCCTCAGTAATATGCATTAGACTAACTCTTGAGGTAAAATTAAGGTTAGTTGCTATACAGTAGATGACTTTGAAAGCCACCTCGTTAACATCAATCTTGTGTTCTATATCCACGAGATGAAACAGTGTAGATCCATGAATGGACTTTGTTTCTCCCTTACTTAACCACTTTGCAGGATGGTGTTCCGAATTCCGACGATGAACCCACCTAATTTCACGGCCTGTGTAACTGGCTCGAAAGAAGCAGTCAAACTGATAAATTCATGAAAAATTCCTTTTCGAACATTAATAGACAGAAGACAAGTAGTTCAGCGAAGAGTGTCTTTTCGGCGGCGAATTCATTTTCATAGGTGTACAATCGCAAATATATGCATGGTTGTTTTGTATGTGTGTATATTAAATTTTTCAAACGAAAATACAATGAGTAAGTTCAGATGAATTGGATGTTGATATAAGAGGGTAATAAGAAAAGTGATGAGTTGTCACAAACGATTGTTAAGTAAAGAGTTACGTAGTATAACATGAATAGTTTGATGAAAGAAAGAGTTGTGCTCAGGGTGTACACGGAAAAAAATAACATACCGAATTATGTGGGAGTTTTAAGTAGTTAGGAAAATAAGCATACAAACAAAAGTTAAGTGAAATCAACAGAGTTGTTACTATGAGAGTAGAAATGGTTGAATAATTTTCTTTTGTATGCATAGTTCTGGTTCTTCCAACTGGATGGCTATGGCTTCTGCAATGCAAAGAAGACATGTTGGCAGGTTGTTCTTCACTTTGTAGATTACTTTGAAGCATGAGGCATTTGTTGAGATGGAATGACCAGTGTTGACGAAATGTTCGATTGTTGCACTCCTTATACAGCCACTACTTCCTTACTGCAGCCAAGCTGGAAAGTGTTCTTTGACCCTTTTTGACAGGTTGCGTGTTGAACAACCAATGTACCTAGCTCCACAGCAACAGGTGAACTGATATATACACATAGAAGTGGTCAGGTGCGAGAACTTGTCCTTTGGGCTTCTGCAGATCAGCGGGCGACTGGAGAACATTACTCTCAATGTTGCCGCAAAGAAAGTTCTTCTTAAAGTAGTGGATATTCTCCTTCTAAGGACATCACTGAATAGGTTACCTTTGAAGCTGAGGTTTATATAAAGTATCTTTTTTGGCACGGATGGTGTCTCTTACTTTTGGATTTTCTGTTCGATGCTTTTGTCTAGGAATCTTGATGGATAATTGTTTTGTATGAAGGTTTCTTTCAGGAAGTGTAGTTCTTCTTCTAGGGTATCGGAGCTGCAGATGCGTCGGACGTGAGTGGCAAGAGATCTAATTAGGTTTCTTTTTTGACTGATTAGTACCCAGCTGTAGAAGCTTTTCAGTTAGCCGTTCCGTTTGGGTTTCCTGTGGATGGGCCTCCCTAAAGTTCCGTCAGCTTTCCTTGTAAGTTCAACATCAAGAAAAGGGATTTTAGATTCGTTTTCAATTTCAAGAGCGGACTACGTAGCTGAATGGCATTTGTTGAATATTAGCAGTAACTGATTGAAATCGTGACCGTCATCACAGATAATAAAGATGTCGTCCACATATCTAACATACAAATGGAATTTGTCAATAGTTGATTTGAGTGGGCCGTTTTCGAGACTTACCATGAAGCAGTCTGCTATTAATAGGCCCAGTGGAGAAAAATACACAGAGAAAAGGCTAGATAGTTCATGTTTAACTCCTGCTGTTAAAATAGTATTGATTCTGGAGAGACAGCATAATTCAGTGGCATTGAATGCTCTTTTTACCTCATTCCTTTAGGTGTTGCGTTAATATCGCACTTATATAATCACCAAGAAAAATAAAGTTGTAAGAACAAAGCCTTTTAAAGAACTGTTGGTTGGTACTTTGGCCTGCCTTGACTCCAAAAAATCGGCAGTTTTCCCTCTTTTTCTATTCTCCCAATGCAATCGCTACACTGCAGATATACCCAAAATGTGTATACATCATGTCATCATTGCAAGAATCGGAAAAGCAAGACAAGCTTTCACTACTCTCAAGTCTGTGTGGAGGTCAACAGCACTCAGCATCAAAAATAAGATCCGGATTTTCAACTCCAATGTGAAGTCAATCAGTTCTACTATACGGATCAGAGACTTGGCGCGTCATAAAGAGCATCTCAAACAAATTACAGACCTTCGTTAACAGTTGTCTTCGCTCAATACTCAAGATCAGCTGGCCAGAAAAGATCAGTAACAGAGATCTCTGAGAGCGAACCAATCAGGAACCGATTGTGAAACAAATAGGTAGGAAGAAATGGAGATGGATTGGCCATACTCTGAGGAAATCATCAAGTGACATCACTAGACAAGCCATTGCTCGAGTGGAACCTGGCCGAAAGGGAAGCGGCGAGTTGGTCCATCAGTGCAAGGGTGACTTGGAGGAGTTTATGTGAAGAGGAGATGAAGGAGAGATGTGGGCAGACTTGGAGCCAGGTGAAGACTCTAGCAGAGAACTGAACGCAATGGAGACGCACGGCTGAAGCCCTATGTTCCTCTAGGAATTAAAGGAAATAATAATAAAAAATAAATAAATAAATGTCACCATTGCAAGCGTTACGCAGTTGATGAGGAGTTGACGAAATAAACGATGGTAGTATGTTATCATCTTTATCCAAAACTTTAATTCACTTAAAATTATCTTTTGGAATAAATGCTCCATATACACCTAAATCGATCTCTATTTCTCTTCATTCTATATTTAAACAGGTTGGGGATTAAATGCCTTCAAGGCGAATAATTATTATTTTTGGATACCAATTGTAGCGCCGTATTTAGGTTCAATTATTGGTGCAATTCTATACAAAGTGACTCATTTTCAATGTCAATTAGAATAAATAAACAAAAAGAAAAAAAGGTGAAGGTGAATCACAAAAGAAATGAAACTGTTCAACGTTCAATGCTCGAAAATCAATTTTAACTCATTTAAACAAGATCATGAAAAAACTTACTCAAGGAAATAATATAATTTTTACAATATGAATGTACTTTTAATTATTATGATATAATTTTTTTTGGTTATTTTCGTAAGATGACAAGATTCAACATGTTTTTCCCCTGTTTGGAGACGTGTTCTTCTCATTGGTCTAGTGAATGAGTCATGTTTTGAAAAAGATTAAAGTCTTTGAAAATTTCTGAAAACAAGAGTTGAAAATTAAAAATCATTTGTGTTTATATAAGCTGTAAGAAACAATAATCTCTGCATGTAATAGAGAAGATTTGTAGCTCAGGTGAGTGATTTGCAATTAATAGTGTTCTCTGAGCTGGTTGGTTTAGTTGCGGAGCTTTCATCGTCCTTCTGGACAACATCCCCCTTCAGCGCAATGTTTAGCACAAAGTGAAATGATTTAAATTTCTTCATGGGTGATATAATTGCGTCTTCTGGTAACCATCTTTACATATGTATTGACCATTTTCTATTGACTTGGATTTTAAACTTTCTCCTCACGTGATCTACTTTTTATTAGTTGGTATATTCCGTCTATATCAACGTGTTTGTTTATTGCATATTCGTTTGATTACCAGGCTTCTAAGAATTCCCTGGCACTTTTGCTGTTTCCTCTGTCAAAGATCTCGACATTATCCCAATCAAACTGATGTCCATAATTGTCTCTTTGCATTGATACTAAAGAATATATATCGTGTGTTTTCACGGCTGATTTGTGTTCCTGGATTCTGATTTGAAGGGGATGCCCACTTTGGCCGATGTAATGCTTGTTGCAGTTCATACAATTTATTTTGTAAATTTAAATCTGTAGATTTTAATCTGATGAAGAAGCTGTGGCTTATGCAGCGAAACGTTCAGAAAAAACTTTTCTGATCTTTTCTTAAACACGCTGGGATTAATTTAAATAATTTATAAAGAATCAATCTGACTCGGCGCTCAAACTGTTGCAGGAAGTCCGTAACACCTACGGCCTGGAAACCTATAAGACCATAACCTGTTTAGTCACTGGATTAAATTCATTGGTCTGGAGATTCTAATTCTTGTAATTTATCATCATAGCGCTGGTGACACCCAGTGACATCCACTTCACTCTGATGTGGTAGACTCCACCCGCAGCGACTTCTCTTCAGAACTTCAGGACATCCACTAATGAGCTGAAGATTGATATTCAAATTAGGGGTTTTATGGGAATTTCGAATGATTTCAATGCAGGTTTCATCGGGAAAATCAAGGAACACTGGAAAGGTGTTTTAGCCGACTTTGAAAGTATTCAGCAGTACACACCACGCAGTCAGAAGAGTTAGCATTTTAGCCAAAATCGCTTGATTACATTCAGATCTATCCTCAATGAACTGATTTTATCATCACTAAAACTGCAAGGGGAAATGTGACAACTTACTATTTCATTTAAATGCATTAGACTACTTGTAAGTAGTTTAAATCTATTCACAATAAATAATTTCCAGTGAATGCATATTAGAACTTTAACTGGGTACCGCTGTAGGTTCCGTCACGAACCGATAACAGTTCAGGAATTATTGTGTACAAGGGAACACTAGACAGCTAGTTGTTTCGTCCAACGCTAGGACTCTCCATCGTTGAGTATTTATCATATTACTAAGAAAAGAACCAGGGTGAGTTTTAATTTATTATTCTCTTTTATCAGTCTATATCACGTAACTGTCAGTAAGGTTCAGTTCAGAATTCACTTTTTCAGTGATATTTAACATTCTAAAATTGTTAGAAGTCTATTGGTTTATTGATTATGTTAAGTAGGACCTCATATCCATAGTTGCACTTAACATGGGCCATTTTTCTGAATCATAGTAAATCATCTTCGTATGTGTGCATTATTATTGTTTACAAGGGAAAAGCAACAAGTTGGCAGAAGAAGCATCAAAGATAGGCCTTCAGGTGAATATAGAGAAACCAGAGGTAATGAGGATTCCTGGACAAGAACAACAACAACAGACAACAATCAGCATAAATGGGAGGAACCTGAAAAGAAACAACCTCCTTTACCTACCTGGGAAGCATCGTCTGAACTACAGGCCGATGTAACTGACGAGGATATCAAAGCAAGAATTGGAAAAGCAAGACAAGCTTTCACTACTCTCAAGTCTGTGTGGAGGTCAACAGCACTCAGCATCAAAAATAAGATCCGGATTTTCAACTTCAACGTTAAGTCAATCAGTTCTACTATACGGATCAGAGACTTGCACTGCACGTCATAAAGAGCATCTCAAACAAATTACAGACCTTCATTAACAGTTGTCTTCGCTCAATACTCAAGACCAGGTGGCCGGCCAGGAAACATCAGCAACAGAGATCTCTGGTCCTCTTTGGCTGTCCTCACTATTGTCCATAGGCTTTTATCTTCTCCCTACAAGATTTACTCCACGTCACTCTCCAACGCAGATCCCACTTGTCGCTTCACATTCGGGTTCCACTTGACAGTCTGCCTAGAGCATTAGGTCATGCAAAAGTTTCTTCATCATGTACCCTAACCATCTTCATTTTCTTCTGGGTGTTTCTCTCGACAGTCAATTCTTAGTTGGTTAGTTACCTGCTAGAATTCCATATTGTTAATTCTTGCCTGCCGGTCAGATGGTCTTCAGTATGGCATGTTGTAACATGTTGCCATGAAAAAGTGTGTTGCAGTCATGTAACCATCATGGCTGACTGGAGCCTCAAATTAACATCAACACATAAAAGCCACATACACAACTACCTGAGATTAGAGGGATTACAAGAATCAAAACTATGGAATGAAAGACTTCATATGTTTTTTCTTAGACATAAGCCTCTTAAGGTAATATTTTGTTAGGATATTGGCTTCCTGCTTAAATTATTGGGCTACTCAGTTTTTCCCAGAGCACAATGAATTTAGCCTACTCCGTCATGCTGTGTTTTAACCAACTGTCTACCTTCTTGAAGAATAGACAGTAATCATGAGCATATTTGAAGTGGCTTTTAAGGTACCACATAATCAGTCTTGAAGGGACCACTTTGATTCTACAATAGTAATATCTTTTGATTTCAAACTATTATTAATATTATTATTAATGTTTTACTGCATATTTTATTATTATTATTCTTGAATTCATTTAAAAATATCCTTCATCAGTACCATTGTCTTAACTGGCTCTATTATTACTGATATTATCATGAAGTTTGTGATTCCAGATATTCCAGAGTTCTTTCTCTGATAATTAAGTGATGCAACTGAAATTTAATCCGTTATTAACTGAATCTTAATCTCGTACACCTATTCCTACTCTGATCTATCTGCACTTGACCTGAAAAACGCTCACACCTATATTTTGACGTGGTTGATTGGATTGTTCTGATATGTGAATAGATTCTTGTCTGAAGTTTACAAATGGTCTCACCTAAATGGTCTTCAAATGGATCCATCTAAATGTCACACCTGGTGATTTTAGTTTCAGATGCCGAAAAGACTTGCATGGACCGATTCAGTCTCATGATACCTGTAATATTGATGGCACTGTGATAGCGGGTAAACCGCCTATCTCACCATCACTTTCTCTTCAAATCTCTGTTGGTCTTCTCCCATCTCGTTGATTTTTAAGAAGATTTTTCGTTTAACTTATTACTTCAGGAAGAAGTTGAGGCCTTCTGCTGGCATAACTCAGTTCAATCTCTTCTCTCACACTTTATTAATTCATGTATTCTGCTCATTCTTCTTTATTGTTCCACCTTTTTCTACCTTGTACTTCCCCCAAAAAAGATTATTTCATATTACGTAGAACACTGAAGGCTGCAAGTAGGGTAAGTGATTGTATGGCTTTGACTTAACAAATCGACACTGTTGTTGGTTGATGGGTATTTTATTTCCTGCAAGCAGTTACCTGAATTTATCTGGTCTGATCACTGAATATCCTCTTTAGTATTCTCAGCTTTTTCCTTGTATCTCTTCCAGGTATGAAACCAGAAGAAACTTCATAAGAATCCCTGCGCGTACGGATATTAAATATAAAATTTCTACCTTACCACCATATTTACCACGGGTTCTGTGTGTGTGTGTGTGAAGAGACAGTCAGATGTCAGAGTGGAACTTAGAAACGTTTTGAAATCAGTAACTGAACTTCAAAGTATAAATAAAGATTATTTTTTTTATTCCTTCACGTTCCCAGTGGAATGTAGGGCTTCAAGCTAGAGGTTTGAAGTTTCTGTAGCAGTGTTTATTTTTACAGGATGGGGTTGCTAACCCATATGTCCAACCTTTTCTCTTCACCAGCTTTAGTTCTGGCTTAGTGAGGTAAAGGAGCGCGTCGGACGGTGACTGAATCCCGGACCATGTGCATGGTCGGCTAGCGTCCTAACCGCTGTGCCACCGACAAAATGTGAATATATTCTTATCTAAAGTAAACAACTGGCCTCACTTAAATGGTGGAAACAGAATCCACCCAAACGGCATATTGTTGGTTTCAGTTTCAGAGGGGAAAAAGCTTCACTTGGACTGATTCAGTTCCATGATTCTTGTTATATTGTTGACACTGTGATAAGGAGTATATCGTATCTCCCTCAACTCGGTATCAGTTTCCCTCCGAATCTCTGTTGGCCATCTCATATCCTGTTGATTTGTAGGAAAATCTTCCGTTTGACTTGTTACATGAGGAAGAAGTTGAGACATTCTGCTGGCATAATTGAAGTCAAACCAACCTCTTCTCTCACACTTTATCAATTCATGTATTCTACCCATTCCTCTTCTTTATTGTTCACCCCAAGTATTCTTCCATGGACTTCCCAAAAAAGACTATATACTATGATGGAGAACATTGATGACTGCAACTAGGGTTAGTGATTGTGTGGCTTTGACTCAAGTAGCTGACATTGTTATTGGTTGATAGGCATTTTAATTCCTGT